CAGCTGTAGTTTTGTCTCCTCCTCCCACCTTTGGCTGTGTGCACACTTATTTTGAAGGCATCGACAGGAAGTAAACCCCTAATTCCAAAGTGGACCTCTGCAGGAAAGTTTCTCAAGGGATTCCTTTGTTCGTGGGTTTGGACCAGGAGAAAGTGGATATATGGGATGAAATAAACCAGAAGTTAATAACATCAGCTGAGTGAGAGCAAAGTGAGGAGGAGGAAGCTGTGGACACAACGAGGAGTTCTCGGTGAAAAGGCAGAAAGTTGCTAATGGAAAGAGAGGGAAGGGGAAAGATGACGAGGAGGAGCCGAGGACGGAGCTGAGCTATGTGGCAAATCTCCGAAGAACTTCTCCGTCCGTGAAAGCAGCAGAGCCGCCTTTATTTCGAAAAAGCGGTGAGTTAGAATCGCAGTGGGCCTGACACGGTGAACTGGCCTGATGTTTCCGCCAAACTTTGAATCCACGCGGGGGAAAGTTTCAGAGGAAGGGCCGAAGCTTCAAGCTAGGCTGTGGAAGTTCCTCCAGTTAACCCTGAGGACATTCAGAGTCGGGCCCTGCTGCGGGAGGTTTCTGTAATTCAGCGGTACCTCACAACACTGCTATTTATTTAATCTGTTTCATTTATTTATTGAAACAAACTTCTCCCCACGTGTGACATGTTGTCCAAACTAAATCCAGTTGTGTTGGCTGCACACGGTGAGTGTTTCGGTGCTCATCAGAAAACGTCCTGTTTCTGTTGCTTACGTTTTCCTTTTTTAAAAAGTCCCGACTTTTGAATATTTAACTGCTCATACCGGTTATACAGTTAGCTCGATTCACGTTTAAAATAAACTTGTTTCTGTTCACAACACCGAAAATCTGAAATCAAACGATCAACGTGTGATTGAATTCAAATGGTTTAAAAAAGTATTTCAGTAATAATGTAGGATTCCCGGCAGAGGATCCAAAGTAAATGGGCAAATTAACATTATTTTAATTAGTTTTTCTTTAATCCTCTGCAGTCTAATACTGCTTAAGGAATAGCACTCGTAGATAGCACCAAACACTGCATTTTCCTGTTGTTTATTCCATAATACAGTGAAGAGGTGACAGGAAGGAGCGAGCGAATAGAAGAAGACGCCTGGCAAAGCCTCAGGCTGCTGCACTGAGCCTTGTAGCTCTGTGTGCTCAGTCTGTGAGCTACACCAATGTGCTCCCAACATTCTGGTGCATGTTCATTTTCGCCTCCTCTGTCCTCTTACAATAATTTTTTCCAGAGCTGGGCACGTTCTGGCGTTCCCTAGGCTTCCCATCCTCCAGTGTAACCAGTGGGTTCCACCTCGTTATAAAGCTCCTGTACTTCCTGTCATGAAGTTGTCTGTTGATTGCAGACTGTTCAATTCAATTTTATTTATATAGCGCCAAATCACAACAAAAGTCGCCTCAAGGCGCTTCATAGAT